ATCCTCAGACAGGCTGCTGTCGACTGTGTTGCCCGTATTCAAGAAGTATCAATGGGCTTTATACGAAAATTACCGAGGCACCGTCATTAGATCCATTACCACCCGAATTTTCACGGGTGAAATTCTGCGGCGATTTACTAGTCATCGGGAAAACCGAATCACTGTAACTCAGCTTGGCTTCCTCATTAGTTGTGGTTGCATCGACCACGTGTTTACTTCGTCAAATCTTAGAGTATAGTCACACTTTCAGATAACCAACTGTGCTACTTTCCCTTGATTTGAAGGGCACCTTGGACTCATTGGTTGTGCCGGCTTGTGACCCAGCCTGTCCGTGAATTACGTGCCAGTTAAAATCCTTTCCATTCTGAACTCTCCACCGTGACTCCCGAGGCTGAGTTACCCTTTACAGGAAGCTGTCTTCTTATTTCCCCACTACAAATGGACTTTATCGGAGTTGTCCTGTACCTCATGCCTCTGTTCTTTTATACTTTTCAGGAGTGGCAGTTATACTAGATGATTGACAATCATTGAGTATGCGGACAACCTAGGCCTCCTTGTGTTGGACACGGTGGTTACGCAAGCACTACTGAATAGACTGACATCTAGAGCTGCACGCTTCCGCGTGCAGACGATTGTTGTAGGACTAGACCATTACGCCACTGGTTTTAGCCATCGGCGGACGGCCGCTAGAATTGGTAGCTCGGTTCACCTTTAGTAGCTTTGTCACCTCTAATGGTCACATCGCTGAAGAGGTTACTTCGCGTATCAGCATAGCCCATCTCTTTTTCCACAGACTCAGCCATCTGTGAAGACGGCGGAACATCAGCCTATCAGCGAAAGGTAAGGTGTATGGTGCTATGATAAGATCGGCGTTACTGTACGGATCAGGGACCTGGCTAGTCCGCAGTGAACACATTCAGGGCTTAGCCTTGTTTGATCACTGGTGCTTGCGGAGTATTTCTCATACCTGATGGGAAGACTGGATGAACAATTCTGACCTCCACCATTTGGTTTTCGGCAGGAAGCCCTCTGATACTCTACTGGAGTGTTTGTCAAAAACTAACGGCTTGAGTTGGCTGTCATGTCCTTTATATGTCCATTGGCTGCCTTCCTCGGCGTGCTTTATATAGTGTCACTGCACAACGTTAGGCGAAACCTTAAGGTGACCAATGGATGGCGTGGCAAATGGGCATGAGAAAATTGGTCGCGAGACCTATTCAGGCTAGTGCGTGTCCTATTCGTGGATGGGGACCTCGGGATGGTCCACATAAGTGGTTTTAGATTCCGTAGGACAGCTCAGTCGCGCAATCAGTGGTCTTCCTGCATTCGCTTTCTTGCATTTAGCTGGTACTTTTCATTCCATCCTGATTAGTTTCGCGCACTTTTTTCACTTTTTTATCCTGTTTACATGCCACCTCGTCCTCCTACTATTTTATTGTCAACTTGTTCACACTTCAGTCCCCAGATCGTAGGTATCCGATTGCTTGTCAATATGTCCTCCATAGGACAGACACAGGACACCTGCACCTACAGAGGGACTATGGGTGACTTTCGCTGCACCACTCACAGCCTCATCCACATACGCCATATCCGATGTAAACCCGAAGGAATTAGACCGGGAGGCATGTGGAAGAGAGCCACGTTACATCAGCGGAGCCGGCCCACACTCCTTCACAGGCTAACGCAAACACGCTGTATTTGAAATATCAAGCGCACACAAGGCGGTGGCTGAACCCTAGTTTGATTCACGCTGAGTGCATGAAACCATTGTTTGAGCCTAGCACGGCCACGAAGACCGTTGACCCCGTCCCCTCCAGCAACGACCATCTGTCTCCTGAAGCCAGTATGGATGAGGTAGTGGGTAATAGACAGGTAGGTACCTTGTCAACATGCACATCAAGCGTAGCCACACCGGGGATACCAAGCAACAGTCAATCACTTGAAATAACATTGTAAAATACAGGAATCTGTTAAAGCATACGGATATGCCGACATAACTCCGCTAAATTAGCATACGTAATAAATTGGCTATCAACAAGTCCGCGATAAGTGTAAAATCTCAGCAAATAAATCTAAAAAGGCGCCACAAACGCGGAAATGTTAACGAAGTTAACCACAGCCTCAGCGACGTGTGCAACTTATGAGAAGACTATTTAGGTGGACGTTAAAATGACGGAAAAAATGAATTAGAACAAGATAGCAAACACACCATCTGGAATAAAGCAACTCAATACGCCAGCACGCGTTTAGTAAATGGAATGCAGCGTACCTACCAACGCTGCGCCGGTTCTGCTTACGTGCTCAGCAGGACTCGTGCTGGCCCCGAGTGGCCTCGCACCTGGCTCACTGGGCCTGCCTGACTCGGGCATTCACAATCGCATCTACTACAACACTATGCGCTGAACGTCGATGAAGTACAGCCCATTGGCGCCTACCGCTTTCGCGATTACTGCTTCTCTGCACGCACGAGGGCTTTCTCTTACACCTCGGCAACTGCCTTCATGATCAGATCCCGCCATGCACGCTGATCAACCGCCTTCGATTCCCAACATCTGAGATTAACATTAGAACGTGATACGCCCACTTTGATCATAACCTGGTAACGAAGCTTCGATTTGCCCACGTGCCGTTTCTCCGCACTCAGCTGACCATATAACAGCTTCTTCGGTATTCGCGTCGAATCCATACACCTCACATGGCCAAGTGGCACTTCGGCGCCCAGTATTCCTCAAGGCAGTGCTACTAAGAAACAACTGGTGCTCCGCATACAGTTGCAGCAGACGCTCACCGTTGTCAGTCCGTTCGGAGTTAAGCCCACAATTATCACCCAGCTGAGCTTCTGAAGAGGTCAGACGCCCTACTTGTGCGTTCATATCCCCTTAAAGTACTATAATCTCTGAACTGGTAGCACTACGTAGTAGCGCGTTCATTACGTGATAGAATGTGTCTTGACAGCATTAGAACTGCAGTCGGTGGGAGCATAAGCGGAAATCACAAACAAACATCGTTTTGTATTACTTCATGAATGCATCTTAGCTGATGTCGTCAAACTAGCTGCACATAAACGCCTGTTCACCGGAATCCAATCAACCAACGATAGTTGAGCCTTGGAGCTGAGAATGATACCTACACCACCTTGACCCGTGAGTGCTACATTGGCGTCTCTAGATGCGTGCACTCAAGAACGAGAGGATAAGCCGGGTGAAGTTAATTCAACAACCCCGTTAGAGTCATTGATCCTAGTTTCGGATGCACAACACACGTCAATACCCAGTGTGTCCAAGGTGCGTGCGAATGCGGCCTGTTGACCTATTTGTTTTGGAGTGCGAACGTTGAACGTTGCCATGGAAACGGGACAGTGTGGCCTTATAAGGGACTTGCCGACAGGCGTCCGATAGGTGCTGTGGGATAGTGGCTGCAGATGGTGGTTGCAGATGGTTCTGCTCCAGTGGCACCGGTCGCTGTCCGTAAAGCTGGGAATTATGGAAGGCTAGTAATGAGATCGGTATGGTAGTAAGAGAAACAGGTGGCTAAGGAAGAAGGGAGGCGCCAGCAGTAGCATGTTTTCGCTTATCCGCCCTGCTATATGCAGCAGATAAGGCGACCCTTAATAATCTGCACGACGGCCGATGCAGGATGTAGTTTATGTTTGAGTAAGATGTCATGGTTGTATGTGGGCTGAGCTACTGCCAGGGCGCCCAGACCTAGACAGGAAGACGATCAGGGTCCTCATCCAAAGTCTGGTTCAAAAGCCTGTCCGCAAGGCGGCGGGGAAGTGGCATTGATTTACTTTTACAGAAACGGATGCCATCCTATATATACATATATATGTATATATATGTATATATATGTATATATATACTTGGAGATATGGACTGATATTACAACGTATTGTGCATCCACCCGTCGCAGTACACCATAAAGTTTATTGTATAGCCTTTGAGCAGAAAATAATGCCTTAACTGCTTTCAAAACAAGGACGTCATGGTTCAAATTCAGTTGGAACCGGAACAATCGAATGATCCCGTGTATGTTCCTCATTCTGCTTCATGAAATCAAAAGGGAAAAGTGGTCGCACCTAGTGGTTCCGTTCTTTGTGTTGTTTTACAGATGCCTGCTTTGAGTTTTTTGTTCTTTTCGCTTGAAATCAAACGTTAGACCAAAAGGGGCCGAGAAACTGACATCAGTTTTCTTGCGATTCGTAGCATATGAACTTCTAAGTACTGTTGTTCATGTGACGTCGTCTTGTTCCTGACTGATAGACAGTCAGGCCCAATCCATGCTAGATTTGGAGTGAGCGCGTTTCTTTTCCTCGTCATGCGTTGTCTACTGCGACCCGCTTTTTAATCACTCATTCTACGAACACTAACAATGCGCATCAGAGACGTTCCAAGATGTTTGGACGGTCATTGGGTCTTCTTACAAATTGATATTATTGATATAACGCAAATCCACAACCCTCATCTTGGATAGACCAACTGCCGCGGTTCTAGGCTCCTTTCATTGTGCGATTTAAAGCATGTTCAATAGTAAAGCAGAACAGGAACTGTAAAGTAATGCAACCTTAGCACGCCGCTGGTACGAAACACCGAACGTGAACACTTCTTCAGTCCCGGGTACCTCATTACATGACACCGTGCAACACCGTAACATTGGCTTTGGTTTCACATTTACCGATTTCCATGCTCTTTTGATGGGCTACTTTGTTACTGATGGTGGTGCCAGGATTAGTTCGTGTTTTCTACGGGGTTAGTTTTTCAGTGTCCGTTTTCTATTTTCGTATCAAATGGTGAGTTTGTGCCCTGATCGTGCGATGATATCGCAGTCCATGTTGCTGCCAACTTTAGCGATCATTATCCTCAGCTAAGACCAGTGCATGTTGATTTTAAATTAATCCCGGAGCTATTGTTGTTTCTTCTAACCAATGAATGGTTTTGCTATTCCGCATTTTCCTTGTTCAAAATCAAACTTTTATTCTTGGATTCTCTCTTCTGCATTAGGATTTTGATGCGTATAGCACCGAAAAATCTGACCACTTGCTTGCATGCGAACCTTTCGTATGTGCGCGATGTGGGACCGACTTCACTCCAGTTTGGAAACGCAAGCGGCCTGGGTCCACCGAGGTGGTTTGTGAAGTGTGCATTATAGATAGCCAACGCTCTGCCATTCACAAGTCGTACAACAACGTGGTTTTCGCTGCTGTGAAGCAGTATACTTTATCAGAAAAGGAGGTGGAGCAGGAGTATCAAGATGTGATCAACTCCCCCGCCAAGTTAGATGCTTTCATCAGGGATCATGAACGCAAACTCGCTTCGATACAACCGACTCAAACGAACCAACAGCAGCCATCACAACAGCAACAGCAACAGTCACAGAGCACTTCCCTTCCCTCTCAGAGGTATCACCAGATTCAGAATTTACAATCACAGGTTTGTCCTTATACACTAACATCCATCTCCATTAAAATACTCGACACTGTTGCGCTTATTAGCTTTTGTTGATCTCATACTTTAGAATGCGTTTACTAACTCCAAACACGGTCCAACTGCGCTTACGGTGAATAACTCGGTGCATATTTCAATACAGGGAGCAAATGCTCGTCGGCAAGCACCAAGCACTTTGGTTTCTTCAGCGAGTGCGCCCGCTTTGGCCGTTTCTCAACAGCATCCCCAATCTGGACACACTGCGGCCGCCAGCGTGGCTCAACTATTGGCTTCGCAATATCAGCAACTGAGCAAAGTGGTGGCAGCCGCGGCCACTGGAAATCAGTCCCAAACGAACTACACGGTAACCAACAATCCCGCAAATGTTACTGCCGGTCTGATGATGGCCGCTGCTGTATCCAATCCAATGCTTGTGGCTGCTGCCGCCGCGAACGCCTCTAACCAGCAGCAGCAACAACAACAGCAACAAGCCACCGCCCTCGCTGCTCTCCAACAACGTTTGGCCGCAGCTGCCGCTTTGGGCGAATTGCAACAGCCTCAACAGACCCAGGGGAATACCACATCCTCTACTACCACCGATCAGTTTAGCCAATTCACGCAGATGCAAGCTTTGCTGATGAACAGTTTACTTTGTAGCGCCGGTAAGCCTTTAGGTAGCCCTGCTACTGCTCACTTGTGTTCTACACAATGTTTTTCCTGTGTCCATATAACTTTGTAGCCGCTGCTTCTCATCAGTATCTCGGTTGATGTTAGCATTGGTACTTATAACTACTGCATCATAATATTAATTCAACACTTGCTAACCTAATCTTTTGCAACGGTGGGACGTGTCCATGTGCGTAGCACCCATGTTACGAAGGTTTACCAACCTGGCCGCCCGTTGAGCTTTTGGGTGGCTTGATCATGTGCTCATCGGCTGGTGGCCGAAAGGATTGCATGCCTTGTTTGCAGTTCTTAGGTCACCGGTTCGAATCAGCGTAGATGCGGGCGTCCTCGCGGTATACTCAGTCCACACGTCGTATGACAGCGAAGCGTTGATACAGTGTGCCTTCGTATTGCTAATTACTTTCTTTTCTTTCTTTTATCTTCTCCCGTCATAGATATTTTTCCAATTTTTATTTACTCCAGACTTGTCCACTTTATCCTCTGGATCGCGCTCGTATGGCACCGTCAACTCTTTGCCTTCATTCTTTTGACAAGTGCAGTTCCGTCGGCTTTTTCTTTTCTACCAACGGCTTAATAGTTTTCCACCTATTCTTTCTTGTACGTTTTTTTCGCAACGAGACTACACCTTAGCGTATTGCGATGGTTTGCGTACCCCCGTGACCCACAGCTATGCTGGGTGGCACTTTCCAACTGCTTTTAAAGCGACTCATACCAGACAGTTCTATGGTTAATAGACTAATTCAGTCTCACGATCCAATCCTTTTCGGAGGTCATCTTCCTTTAAAATCGAGCTATTGGAGACGATAAGTCTACGGATTATCGGCTCACAGCTCGATTGGTGTAGAGCACGTGCGCCACGCATGGTCTCTGACGATGCTCACTGGTTTTCTACCACCCACCTCAAGCCGGGCAACAGCTGGTCAAATTAATGCACACCCGTCAACTCCCACCTGCGGCTGGCCGTGGTCGCAGTTGCGTAACGCAATACGATTGTAAAACATGTGTGCACTGTTCTAATTCTTCAAAGGCTGTGTGTGATAGGCCTCGAGCCTGTCCCACTGGGTCTCTACAGTCACACTCATGAGCTGGACTTGCTCCTCACTGCATTTTGTGTCAGGCTATTGAGCCAAAGACTCTGGGTGGAGTCCCTCAAGCGAACCTCTACACCCACACTGCATTGTGGGTCAGACTGTTGAGTCAGAGGCAAGTGGCAGGGTACCTGGAACAATACCCCTCTCTCTGAATGAGCTGCCGGAGAGTACCATTTATCCTCTCGACCACGTCGACAATACTTCCTCTTTTTGTTTCTCTCTCTTCCCTCTTCCCAGTCTATTGAGCAAGTGACTGCCGCTGCTCTCGCACCTACTGCAAACCATACATGTAGCCCTCCCCATCAAACCCATAGTTTCATTTCACATCGGTTCTTTTATCGCCAGCACTTTGGATCAGATTGGCCAGCAGGCAGCACTGTATCTCACTCATCACTCTCTTGCTATTGGTGTATGGTGTATCCTAATTACGCGTACAGGATAAAAGCGTTTTGACGAATCTTCGACTTCCTGGTTCTGTATCTGACGACATTGACTACACTCCGCTTGTCTGATGATACTGAGTCAATGGCTCAAGGTATTTACGTTGTTGGTATTGCTCTCCACAGACATGCTGCTCGACTGGATACCGTTGAACAGCCACATGTGTGCGGTTCGACTTCGAACCTCTGTTGGAGTTAACAAGCAGCGTCTGGAGATAAGATGCCTTTTCATCGCCTCAGTTTATGCCACTAACGAATGCAATTCAGAGGGTAGCAAAGACGATTGCTCTCAACAGCTCTCATCTTCGCATGACGTAGAACATAAACATCCTGATTGTTACTAGCGACATGAATGCCCAAGTGGGTCATCTTTCAGACTAAGAACGACACTTGGGCGGCCGCCCCGGAGTCCATGCAGGCCGAACTGACAATGTTGATAGCTTCTTACGACTGTACTCTGACTACAACCTTCACCTTAGCAGCACTGCTTTTCAGCACAAACGTTCACACCATGTCTCGTGGCTCCCACCGGAATCCTCAGTGATCTGAACCAAAATTGGCCATATTGCCATTAGCTGCAGATGGCGCACATTAGTCCAAGACTATCGGTTTAATTTAGAGCACGTGCCTGGATTCTGACCATGCTCTAGTGCGCGCATGCTTTGCGCGCACTCTTCCCGCTTCAGATAATTGCCTATCTTCTAATACCTGTAACGGACTCGCAATCTGCAGTTCAGCGATATCATGACGAACTGGCCCACCAATTGTCAGTGATGACTGAGGTTGGTGGGCCGAACACTGACTGGGATCGTCTCAAATGTGCCATGAAGAATGCCTTTGACGCATGCCTTACACCCGAATTTCGCCACCGTCACTGTGCATGGATCTTTGAGACACTGATAGGCTTGACCAAAGCCCAGAAACAAGTTCCAATGAGCGCTGAGTTTCAGCATATCCGTACCTCCCTGAAACGACATCTGAGAAGGAGACTTCGGATTTCCCTGGGATATTGGTGGGTTGCAAAGTCCCGTGAGATGGTAAAAGCCAGTGTTCCTGGGAACAGCCGAGTGCTACTCCTTCTCTTCCGGAACGCGGCTCCGAGAAAGCGATCAGTTAGCGAGACAACATCTGAGAAAGATGAACAGTTGATCCATTTTCAGTGTTGTCTAGCCCGTTGGGCGGAACATTTTGAAGAGCAGTTCAGCAGGTCTACTGCGACATGGCAGCTTGCCGAATCGCCTGAGCCGACGTGAGACGTGTGACACCTCCCACTTTGGAAGATTTGTAATTAGCTTTCCGTGTTGAAACGAAATAAGACTCTTGGACCTGACGACCTTCCTCCATCTTTACTGAAATGTGGTGGTGACTCTTTGTTTACTGGGCTCACTTCTCTATTTAGCACGATGTGGAACACTGAAGAGGTCCCTTCAGACTGGCGACTATCAACTGTCGTGCCCTTCTGCAAGTAGGGTCAGCGTACTTTGGGCGTCACTCATCGGAGCATTAGCCTTATTTTCACTGTCTCAAAACTTCTCACGAGTATCATTGTTCGACGACTTACTGGTCCCCGTGAGGACCGAATCACTGAAAGCCAGACTGGCTTTCGCTCTGGTCGTGGTTGTATAAAGCACATCTTTACTCTTCGCCAAGTTTTGGAACAGAGACACACCAGACAACTGATTATGGTGTCTTTTCTTGACTTGAAAGCTGCCTTCGACTCTCTTGATCGCTGCAGCTTGTGGCATTATCTATCCATGAAGGGCGTGCCAGCTAAATTCTTTTCTATTATGCCGTCTCTACCGTGACTCCCGAGGCGGACTAGGGTCCACAGGAAACTGTCTACTGAGTGCCCCACGACAAGTGGGGTTCGCCAGGGTTGTCTTATATTACCTCTCCTCTTCGACTTTCCAACTCTACTGGAGTGGCTGTCCTGCCAGGTGGCCGACTGACAAACCTTGAGTATGCTGACGACATAGCCCTTCTTGGGTCTCTCGGTGGCTATACCTACACTCTTGGGTAGACTAACACGTAGTGCTGCACGCTTCGGCATGTGTTTTGCACCTCAAAAGTGCAAAATACTGCTGCAGGATTACGTTGCCAACTCCGGTTCTAGCTGTCATCAAACAGCCACTGGAAGTGGTGGATCGGTTCACATACCTTGGTAGCTGTGTCACCTCTGGTTGTCACATCGCCGAGGAAGTTACTTCGCGTATCAGCAAGGCCCATGTGATTTTCCAGAGACTCAACCACTATGGAGACAGTGAGATATCAGCACGTCAGTGGAGGGCAGGGTGTATAACGCTGCGGTTTGCTCGGTCTTACTGTATGGATTAGAGACCTGAGCAGTTCGCGGCGAAGACATGAAACCCTTGGCCGTGTTTGACCACCGGGTAGACAATACTGAGGTCCGCCAGTTTGTTTTTGGCAAGAGACCTTCTTGCGCTACACTCACATGTTTGCTGAATCTTAATCGCTTACGTTGGCTAGGCCATGTCCTCCGTATACCCGTCGACCGGCTTCCTCCGCGTGCATTGTACGCCGTTGGCTGCACCAAGTTGGGCGAAACCACGAGGTAGCCAGTACATGACGTAGTATAGAGGCATGAATAAATTGACTGAGACTCGGTCACGCTGGTGCGTGCTATTGTGAAACACGACGGCAATCCAAAACGAAGTCTTGGTGGCGGTCAGCAGACTCGTTTATTGCCAGCAGCCTCGCATATTTATAGAAAAATAATACGCTATTTTCTTTCGCATTATTTCACTGGGTAGCCTGTCATTCGCTTGACCTCATTTGCTGTGTTTTCTTTCTGTTTCATTGGCTCGTGGTTGCTCCATCATCCGCCCTATCGCCTTACTTCGTCTCGATGTCACCTGTGTTCTATGACTGGCACCAGATTGGTCGTATTTCCTCGGACCACTGATCCTCGATTGGTACTCGTACGGTCTGCCGTTAATAGCGATTTTGGGTCGTCAGTGATCCCCATCGTTTAGCTGACCAGGTTGTTCTTCCGGCTTTTCGATACACGTAACGTGCTATTGGCATGTTTGCCGCGCCGCAATATTGGTTTTCTTTTACGTAATCGGTTACTGTCCAGTCGCGTGAGGTTTCCTCGCTCGGGCGAATCCGCTGTGTTCCATGGTCCGCGGTTAGTCTGTTGGGCCAACCAGGTTCTGCCGTTTGCTCAAACCTCATTACACGTGCCATATTCGTGAATGGGGGCCCCGGGTTGGTCTGCACCAATGGTTGGAGACCGTATCTGACATGGCGCACTCGCACAATCAGTGGCATTCCTGCATTCGGTCTGGTTATTAATTTCGTTCCATTCTGGTTTGTTTAACACACCTTTTTCTTGCTTCCACTTTCTTAACATTCTATTTGATTTTAACCCCACTATATTGTTCTTGTTATTTATTGTTTTTCTTGGCATGTGAGTGGTGGCAA